ACTTACTCATTTATGTCAAGAAATTTGGAAGACAGTTATGTGGCCAATTTACTGGAAGAGATCCATATTTGTACCCATTCCAAAAAAAGCTGATCCAACAGAATGTAGAAATTATCAAACAATATCATTAATATTACACACAAGAACAATTTTGCTGAGGACAATTCAAAGATGACTGCAGTAGTATATTGACAAGGAACTTCCAGAAATGAAATCTGGATTCAGAAGAGGATATGAAACAAGGGATATGAAATGACATTGCTATGTCAGATGGATCTTGGCTGAAAGCAAAAAATACCAGAAAGATATTTACTTGTGTTTCACTGACTATGCAAAGGCATTTGACTCTCTGGGTCATAACAAATTACAGATAACATTGAGAAGAATAGGAATTCCAGAACACTTTATTGTGCTCATGAGGAACGTGAACATGGACCAGGACACTCTCATTAGAACAGAACAAGAGGATATTTTATGGTTTAAAATCAGGAAGGTAGTGTGCCAATGTTGAATTTTTTCACGATACTTATTCAATTTGAATTCTGAGTGAATGATCTGAGAAGCTGGACTATATGAAGAAAAGCTTGGCATCAAGATTGGAGGAAGACTCATTAACAACCTGTAATATGCAGATGACACAACTTTACTTGCTGAAAGTGAAGATGACTTGAAGCACATACTGATGATTAAAGACTACAGTCTGCAGTATGGATTACATCTCAAAAAAAAAAAAAAAAAAAAAAAACCTCACATCTGGACCAATAACCAGTATCATGATAAATGGAGAAAAGATTGAAGTTGTCAAGGACTTCATATTACTTCATTCCACAGTCAGTGCCAATGAAGCATCAGTAAAGACATCAGACAATATATTGCACTGGAAAAATCTACTGCAAAAGACCTCTTGAAAATGATGAAGAACAAAGATGTCTCTTTGAAGATTAAGGTGCACCCAACCCAAGCCATGGTATTTGCAATCACCTCTATGCATGTGAAAGCTGAACAACAAATAAGAAAGACCAAAGAAGAGTTGATGTTTCTGAGTTGTGCTGGTGGCAAAAATATACCATGGACTGCCAAAAGAACGAGCAAATCTGCACTGGAAAAAGTGCAGCCAGAATGCTCCTTAGAAGCAAGAATGGACAGACTTTGTCTCACCTACTTTAGGCATGTTGTCAAAAGGAATCATTCCCTGGGTAAGGATATCATGCTTAGTACAGTGGAAGATCAGCAAAATAATGGGAAAGCCCTCAAGGGGATGGATTGACTCAGTGGTTGAAACAATGGAATCAGGTATAGCTAGGGTCGCTATGTGAGTCAGAGAGGACTCAATGGCACTTTACAACAACAGCACCCTGAACTAGAGAGTATGCTAAAAGTGCACTGTTTCAACTTAACTACAGTTAATTTAACAGACCTCTGGATTGTTCAAGCCTTAACTCTCCCCCTTCTTAGAGTTTCCAAAATATTTTAGAATTGATTTCTAGACTTAGATTTCTAAGACTAGATGGTCATCCTTTCCTAATTATTAAGCCCCTTAAGTAGTATGCAATGGTGTTAAAAACATACAAAATATTACTTGACTACAAAATAATTAATCAACATGACAATTTTGTAAAAAAAAGAAGAACTCAATAGTATTGGGCAACTGTCAAGTAAGAGTAGTTGTCTAACAGAAAGCTAGCCTGAACAAACCTACAACCCTCCCTGACAAACAACAACAACAAAAAAATCCATGCCACATAAGGTAATTTGTGCCCCAGAAGGACACATATTTTATGTGGAGAATCAGATTACTTCATAAACCGATCCACAACCTAAATGATTAACACTATGCATGGGAACTTCCATATTTATATGGATGGCATATTGTAGACAAATGCATTTGATTGGTGAGGTAGGTATTTTCCAAATTTCCTGTCACAGACAACTGAGAGCTTTCAGTATTGCATCCATTTGTTGAAACATCTCAATTGGTAGTATATAAATTTCTGGAACCTTGTTTTTCGTCAGTGGTATCACTGCACCTTGGACTTCTTCTGTTAACGTCATCAATTATTGATCATATGCTACCTTCTGAAATGGTTGAATGTCAACCAATTATTTTTGGTACACCAACCCTTGTATTACTTCCATCTTCTTTTGATACTTCCTGTGTTATTCTTTTTTTTTTTGCCCATAGAACTTCAATATTGCAACTCAAGGCCTGACTTTTTTTCTTCAGTTCTTTCAGTTCCAGAAATATCAAGCATGTTTTTCCTTTTTGATTTTCTAAGTCCAGGGTTTTGCGCATAAAATGGGCAGATGAGTAGTGGAAGGATATGAACTAGTGATTTCCAGAAAAAAGGTAAATGGTATAGTAATATAAAAAATATTTACATTCTCTAGTAATGAAAAATAGGAGCTCTGGTGGTGTATTGGTTAAGGTATAGGCTACTGACCAAAATGTTGATTGTTTCAACTCACCAGCTGCTCTGTGGAAGAAATATGAGGCAGATAGCTTCTGTAAAGATTTATAGCCTTGGAAACCCAATGGAGCCTGCTATGAATTGAAATTGACTCAATGGCAAGTGAGTTTGGTTTTGACTTTTAAGTAATCAAAAATATTTTAAGAATGGCATCACATAGTCAGAAACTATTTATTAAAGCTGAAATATTTCAAGCAGGTTGAGTCCTGATAGTATAAAATTAGATATAATATGGTCAGTATTAAGAGCATGATAATGGGCTTTGATTTTATTATATAACAGTTATGATTTACCATTCTTTTTTTTTTTTCTTTCACCCATTATGATTTATTCTCCACAGTACTTTGTTAAAGAGTTCAATGATTTGCACTCAGAAGTTATATAGCCAAGAGGCAGCCAAGTGTAAAAAACAAAGAACTGTTCTGAAGTCTTTGTACTGAAAGCCATACAAAGTCTCTTGCTTCATGAAAATAAGAGTGAAAAGAAACAAAAAGAACACATAGCTTTTTAGATTCCAGAATCCCATAGAACTTAACATCAACACTTAGTGTAATGGTAGATGTCCACATATGGAAAACAGATCTTGTGCAAGTATTAAAATTAACACCAAGGACTTCTTCTGTATAGATATAACACCCAGGACTTTTTTTGTATAGATATTATAGATAATAAAATATGTAATATCTCAACTACAAAGCTTTGTTGTTGAAAGGGTCTCTAACGTGAGTTGCTTTAATATTAATATCTTTTTTTTTTAATGTTGTCTATACCTATGCACCTTTTTCCACTCTTAAAGTCTTTTCCAGCGTTGGCTTTCACCAGCTCATACATCAATCATTGCAATTATTCTTATTGCTTCTTGCCTCTCTTTTCAGTCTAATGCCAAATTAGTTTTCTAAAAGAAATTGTACTATGGGGAAGACGTTGTTTTATGCCTTAAACATACATTCAGATTCTCTAATGTGACATTTTAAATTCTCAGTAAACAGATCCACTTCCATCCTTATTTTCCACACTCACCAACAGCTTTCACCGATAGTTCTGCCAGCTTTCTGCAACCATCTTTCACTTTCCTCATTCCCTACCTCTGTTGTCATACTCATTTCCATATATATTGGTTCGGTGTATGATTTTATTTCTGTTTTTTCCCCAAAATCATTTTTTCCTACCTTTAAACATCTGTTATTTCTGATGGTACTGAATGACTAAAATCCCCAGGCTACACTAATCCTTATTTTCTGAATTTCAATGCTATATACCCAACACAACCTAAAATTCCTTGTGTATAGTCTACGTTGCTTCCCACCCCCATACTTGTATGTCCAATTTCCTTATTTTAAGCACTTTGAGGCAAACTGTGACTTAAGTTTCTGTGAAAGGAGCTAAAAAAATGGTAAAGGGGAAAGGCATCATTGGTTCAATCTTACTTCATTCTGCATGCCTGAATTAATGTGAGCAAGTTACTTAATATTTCAAACTGAGTATTTTTTTTTTACTCCAGAAAAACATGAAAAATAATGTCTAGCTCATTGGAAGGTAATGTATATGAAAGATCTAGTTTTGTGTCTAGCAGAGAATAAGTTCCAATTAAACAGTTTTTTCTTTCATATTTGCACATGTAAGAGATCAATATATATTTTTTGGTTTTGTTTAGCTTTTGAGGATGTTCACTATTTTCTGCCTCTATTATGCTGAGCAACATCTCCAGCTTTCTCTCAATGTTAATAATATACCAATAATTTATATTTGAATGAGTGCAGGTTATTAACAAACAGGACATGTAATGAGATTTAGGTGGAAAACCCTTGAATCCTCGAATTAATTGATATTATCCGGAATTGCACTGTCATGCATCATAGACATCTATCAAATTATGTGAAAATGTTCAAATCCATAGTATTTTCAAAATAAATAGTAATATTTTCAAATAAAGATTGATAAATTACTATTACACAAAAACTCTAATTCCTGGAGTTTGACAGGAAAAATGTCTAAAACTAAAGATATTCCTGATTTGAGAAAATATATTCATTGAAAATCCATATCCAAACATAATCTCTTGAAAAATTCAAAGAAAGTTGAGGATTTTATTCAATTAAAGAAAGTTGAGGCAAAGTTTATTCTGATAAATGTTATAGTTTAAATAATACATGACAACTTGAAATGTGTGTGTGTTTCCTTAGGGATTCCATAAATTTGTCAACAATGATAAATGGAGGCTAATTTTATTTATTGACTGTCCCAGCCCCTAGGTTTTGTTGAATATGTTGAATATTCTCACTAATTACACTGTGACTCAATTTGTGACCTTATGGTAACATTTATTTACTCCTAAGGGATGCTAGTCATTTAGATCTTGAAATACACTTTAGCAGAATCTCTCCTTTCTAAACTTATTTAACCATTTGTATATGACTAGACTTAAAATTTGCCTGATCAATGATTTAATTATTTGATTTTTAGTATACAAAGTGCTCATGTCCTATTTTCTTTGTATCCTTGAATTTGAAAAAAAAAATTATATAATTAAAATCAAGTAGTCACAGTAGATGATATCTGTTTCAGAATGTTAGCAGGTTTTCTCTTCTTCATAATTCTTTTCACAACATTCATTACTTCCTTATTTCTTAGAGTATAAATAAAAGGGTTTAATAAAGGAATTACTAAAGTATAAAAAATAGCAACTGGTATATCTTTATCCACTTCTTCAACTGAACTTGGACGAATGTACATGACGAGAAGAGAGCCGTAGAACATTGAGATAGAGAGAAAGTGAGATGCACAAGTAGACAAAGCTTTTCCTCTTCCTTCTTTGGATTTCATTTTGAAAATAGTGAAAAGGATGCAAAGATAAGAAATTACTACTATGGTAATAGTGAAGACTTGAATTGACCCTGAAAAGATAGGTATCATCAGTTCATTGATATAAGGGTCAACACAAGAGAGTCTGTATAATGGAAGAACATCACAAAAAAAGTGGTTGATTTTATGAGATCTGCAGAAGGTTAACCTTAATAGAAGTACAACATGAATCATGGAATGTAAGTTCCCAGCTATAAAGGCCCCTATGGCCATTTTAATGCAGAGTTGCTTTGACATCATGGTGTGGTACTTCAGTGGACTACATATTGCCACATAGCGATCATAAGCCATTGCTGCCAAGAGAAAGCAGTCTGCAGTTTCAGCAAGGCAGAGAAAATAAAACTGTGCCATGCATTCATGGAGTGAAATTGTTCTGTCCTCAGAATAGAAGTTCTGTAACATCTTGGGGGTAATGGCACAGGAGCAGCAGGAATCCATCAGAGCCAGGTTGCCCAGAAAGATGTACATTGGTGTGTGCAGACGGCGCTCCTTGAAAATCAATGCCACCAAACCAAGATTACCCACCATAGTGATCAGATAGATAGCAAAGAACACCACAAACAATAGGGTCTTCATATCTGGGTGATCCATAAATCCTGTGAGGATGAACTCAGTTGTCAAGGAGTGATTGTCCTCAGTCATCTCTGCTTTCTTTGTTGTAATAGAATTTATGGTGAGATAAAATTCTAAATTAGAGTGTGTCTAATTTTCCCTTGAAATATCTCTTGGACTACAGGTAATAGATCCACTTCTTGAAGCTTCCTCTGATGTCTCTGAAATATTGGGACACACATATGTAGAAAACATTAAAAAATATAATAATAAAAACAGAAGCACACACATAGAAAAAGAAAAAACCCATTACAATCAAGTTGATTCTGACTCACAGTGACCCTATCGGACAGAGTAGAAGTGCTCCAAATTGTTTCCAACTCTGGAAGTATTTATGGAAGCAGACTACTTCATCTTTCTTCTGCACAGTGGCTGGTGTGTTTGAACTGCCAACATTTTGGTTAGCAATCACGTGCGTTAACCAGTGCAATAGCAAAGTTCTTCTAGGGAACAAAAGTTCATCTAGAATCATCTAATATGACATCAAATGCTGAAGCTTAAGACTTACATTTTTATTTTATTTTATTTTATTTTTATAATTCCAGGGTAATACTTGAAGTGAAAAGATTTGTGTATATGAATTTTTGTAAAGATAGTAAACAAAGAAAGGGTACCCTAGTCTTAGTATTCTCAAATATTTCATTGTCAGTTTTTGTATTGATGATCCTTAAAATGTACCTGAAATCCATTTTACTGTACATAAACAAAAGGAAACTCACTGCCATCAAGTCATATCCAACTTATAGCAACCCCTTTTGGATTTCCGAGGTGGTAAATCTTTATGGAAGTAGATTGCTCAGCCTTCCTTCCACAGAGTGGCTGGTGGGTGGTGGGTTTGGACCACCAAC